GCAGCGTCAATCCTGTGTGCGAGGGGAGGAAAAGACACTTATGCTCGTAGGTCAGGGAGGCGTAGATGGCCGGGATCACCCACCTGCACTCGGATGAGCCGCAGCCTAATCTCCGCCGTCGCTGCAGCAAGCAGCAGCTTGCCAAAGCGCAAAGGAGCCGCCAGCGTGGAGTATAGATGCCAAAGCCCTGCTCCATGGTGTTCGCCACCGATACGCGAGCCCCACTTTTCTTGCTGCGCACTCTCATCTATTTTGTGGACGGGACGTAGCCTTCTGGCACGGGCAAGACCTCGGCTGGCACGTAGGAGGTTGAGGTCCGGGCTCCCCTAGTCCCATGTTGACGACACCAGTAGACAGCTCCTTGCCGAGCATTGTCCATTGATGTGCAGAGGGCCTGGTAGATGACTGGACCAAAGCACTGCACACCGGAACCAAACACTGCATGCACTTGCTCTCTTCCGGCCCCGCTGTGGCTCTTGGAATGCAGCGTTGCACGGCACAGGCAGTGCGGCAAACGGTGATGCTCGGTCATCATCGCCTCCGTGCTTGTCCCTGCAGCCATACTGCGTCAGTTAGTGGCTAGGGATCCTTTTCCGGGAGTGAACCAGCGCGAGTGACTAGCCGAGAGGAGAAGAAGCGCGCCCACAGCGCGAGAGGCGGTTTCACAGTCGAAGAGTCGGTACCTCCGAACAAGCTACCACGCGCCTTCTCAGTGAGGCTTCACCGTCAGGCTCCAACCTCCAAGCCACCAGACAACGAGAAAAACCACCCACCACCATCCCTCTGACACCACCGAGGCTCTCGGAGGGGACGGGAGCTCCAAAGAAGAGCACCGCGCCCCTCCTCCAAGGCACATATGTCCCAAAAGAAGGGCATGAGAGCCAAGGTAGGAAAGAGCGGAGTTCACACTGGGTTCCGGCTCCTAGCCAGATAGGGGGTCTGTTCCCTACGGTTAGACCCCATGCAATAGGTAGGTAGGTCCGGTTTTGACCGCCCCAGAGGGCCCCGCAATAGGTAGGTAGGTGGCGGTGGTGTGGAGGGGGTGGGGGGGTAAAAGTAAAAAAACCCAAGAGAGAGTAGTGGGAAGGCGGGAGAATCCAAAAAAGCCGCGCAAAAAGCCACAAAACCCAGCGAGCCTCCCGTTACGCGATTGCTCGCGATGATGCGTGGCCAGCGCGGGAGCAGGTCGGCGCCGACGCTGCCAGA